GGCAGGGCGGGGCCGCGACCGCGGCAGGGAGCTCCGTGGAAGCTGCTGCAGGGCGGGGCGACGACTGCGGCTAGGGGCTCTGCGGCAGTTGCTGCAGGGCGGGGCCGGGCCGCGACGGCAGCTCGTGCAGGGCAGGGACAAGGCCGCGACGGCCGTTGCTGCAGGGTGGGGCGGGGCCGCGACGGCAGCCACTGCAGGAAGCAGGGCAGTCCACGACGGCAGTTGCTGCAGGGCGAGGCAGACCACGACGGCAGCTCCTGCAGGGCGGGGCAGTTCGCGACGGCAGCTGCTGTACAGCGGGGCAGGGCCGCGACGGCAGCTGCTGTAGGGCGAGGCAGGGGCGGTCGTCCAAAGGGCGGGCGCGGGGTAGGGCAGGGCGCCGCGGCGGGCAGGGGCGATGCCGCGCGGGCTCCGCAGGGGCGTCGCGACGAGCGGGGTCGACGCCCGGGTCCCGTTGGGGCGGCGCGACGCGCAGGAGCCGCGCCTCGCGGGTCCCGCAGGGGCGTCGCGACGAGGCGGGGGCGACGCGCGGGTCCCGCAGGGGCGTCGCGACGAGGCGGGGGCGACGCGCGGGTCCCGCAGGGGCGTCGCGATGAGGCGGGGGAGGACACGCGGGTCCCGCAGGGGCGTCGCGAAGGGGCAGGGGGCGACGCGCGGGTCCCGCAGGGGCGTCGCGACGAGGCACGGGCGACGCCCGGGTCCCGCAGAGGCGTCGCGACGAGCAGGGCGACGCGTCGCGGGGTCCAGGGGCCGCGCCGTGGGGTCCAGGGGCGGCTACGCGGGTGCAGGGCAGGCCCGCGCGCTGCCTCCAGGGCAGGGCAGCAGGGTGGCGCTCGAGGGCGCGGGTAGGCAGGCGCGCAAGGGCGCGGGTAGGTAGGCACTCGAGGGCGCGGATAGGCAGGCGCTCGAGGGCGCGGATAGGCAGGCGCTCGAGGGCGCGGGTAGGCAGGCGCAAGGCGCGTGACAGGGTAGGCAGGCACGACAGTGCGATTCGGGCAGGGCAGAAAAAAAAAGTTTGTGGTGGGCCCTAAAAAAAACCGGTCCCCCGAGGGAACCTGCTCTGAAACCATGTGAAGAGTAGAGGACAAGGAATGACTGAAATAGCAAGGAGATGGGTACAAGTAGGAAAACCTAGCAGTGTTGTACCCCATATAGTCTACCCCACTACAGCCTACACAGACTATGTCATATAGGTTTGACAGCTTGTCATGCATGTTTGTACTCTTGCATCTCTTATATCTGCTATATACTAGCATGTAAACTGGCCTTGTGGACAAGCTCTCCTCCCGCGCCATTCCCTACGTCTTCCTTTGGTTTCCCCCTGACACGCCTAGCTGACAATTTTACCACCCCACCTTGCGCCGTGTCCTGCCCTCTTAGGACGTCACGTTTGATGAGTCGATTCCCTTTTACCGTCTCTTCCCCTACCGCACTGCCCCTCTTCCTCCCCCGCCGCTCTTCCTCGCACCAGGTCCTCCTCCGGTAGACCCCCTCCCCCCTCAGGGTCCTGCTCTCTCAGATGTGTCCCAGGTAGATCCTGTCGAGCCTATCGAGGTAGCTGTCGACTCTGGTGCTGCTAGGGGTACTGAGCCTGCGGGTGCGGGGCCGGGGGATGTTGAGCCTGAGCATGCAGAGCCTGGGGGTACTGAGCCTGGGGGTGCTTACCCTGGGGATCTGGCTGCGCAGCCCACCTGGCTTCACTGGGTCGTTTCCTGCAGGTACCCAGTGGAGCCTCCGGCGACCAGTCTACGGTCTCCGCCAGGCGCCTCACGAGTGGCACGACACACTGAGGACGACGCTTGCAGCTCTTGGGTTTGCTCCTTCGACTGCTGACCTGTCGTTGCTTTTGCGCACCGACACTTCGCTGCCGCCGTTCTACATCCTCGTGTACGTTGACGACTTGGTCTTTGCCACTGGTGACACTGAGGCACTCACCCATGGGAAGTCAGAGCTGCAGAAGAGACACATGTGTGCAGACTTGGGAGAACTGCGGAGCTATCTGGGCTTGCAGATCACCCGGGACAGATCACGCCGCACCATTACCTTGACTCAGTCACACATGGTGCAGCAGATCCTTCAGCGCTTCCGCTTCACGTACTCCTCGCCATAGTCCACTCCTCTGCCTACCAGTCACTCGCTCTCAGCTCTGCCTTCGGATGAGTCCGTAGAGCCGAGTGGCCCATATCCAGAGCTTGTGGGCTGCCTCATGTACCTGATGACCTGCACTAGACCTTACCTTGCTTACCCTCTTAGCATCCTGGCACGCTACGTTGCGCCCGGGAGACACCGACCAGAGCGCTGGGAGGCCGCTAAAAGGGTGTTGCGCTACTTGTGCAGTACGTCGGGCTTGGGGCTCGTGCTAGGAGGACGGGCTAGATTTGTCCTCACTGGTCACGCAGACGCTTCTTGGGTTGACGACTTGGCTACGCAGCGGTCGTCACAGGGTTACACCTTCATCCTTGGCTCCGGCTTTGTCTCGTGGCGGTCTACCCACTCGTCTTCTGTTCTCAGTTCCAGTTGTGAGGCTGAGATCTACGCAGGGGCCATGGCTGCACAGGAGTTACGCTGGCTCACCTACCTGCTGACCGAATTGGGCGAGCCGCCTAGTTCTCCTCCAGTTCTGTACGTTGACAACAAGGCCATGATTGCCTTGTGTCAGGAGCACAGACTTGAGCACAGGACGAAGCACATCGCTCTGCGTTACTTCCTTCCTCGAGAGTTGCAGCAGCGTGGTCAGCTTCGTCTTGCTTACGTGGCCTGTCGGGCCAACAGTGCTGATATCTTCACCAAGGCACTTCAGCCTTGTGGTCATCAGCGTTTTTGTACTGTTCTAGGCCTTGTGCCTACTTGGCCTCACTTGCTCACTTCTTGACTTTGTTTGTACTGTGATTTATATTCTTATACCTGCATGCTTACTCTTGCTAGGTTTTGATCACTGTATTGCTTGTTATGCTTTATATACCTCTGCATGTGAACTGGCCTTGTGGCCTTGTACTTGTGCTCAGAGTGTGTGGTGACTTTTTGATCCACCCTAAGCTTGTTTTGCTTTTCTTGACTGGTCTTGTGACCTCTTGTTCTCCCCCACTTTGCCTATGGGGGTGTGTCAAACTTATATGCTGCTTGTTGTTTAAGCTGTAGTGAGGTAGCCCATATGGGGTACAGCCCAATTAGTGTTAAAAGATGAGCCGTCGAGACTTATGGGAGTGACTTTGTTGTTGTTGTCGCTGTTGTTTGACTGTGCAGGTGCCGCTTGTTGGTGTTGTTTGTAGAACGACATGAAGGAGAAGAACTTCTCCATCATGCTTGGGTTGAAGCCGATTGCGTCATTCGCAGGAGTTTCAGTTGACTCAGCAGCTGGTCTTTGAGTTGTGCCTCCCTCTCTTTGCAGTCCAGAGGCTGGCGGTGGAGAAGGAGTAGTGCCGGGAGATCCAGTGAACGAGCTTCTTTCTTTCTTTGTTGCCATGCCTTCCATTGTTGTAGGAAGTTAAACAGAGTTGAGTCTTGTCTTGCAAGCTCTCATACCATGTTGGGCTGAGAAAAGCCCTTAGGATCGTTTTCAAGACTAAGGCTCAGGATAATTATGTATTAGCGGAATCGTTTAATGAAGGCTGATTGAACCACGTTGCACTGGTGTGTGAGAACAAGATAAGTTGATAATCGCAAAGAGATACGGGGCTTTATATAATTATAAGGAATATGAAAGGTTTAACTAATTGTAACTGCTGTTGCGCTTCGATACAGCGACGACTCGGGTAACTTCTCAATAGCGAGTCAGTTATGTGTCCTTACTATTGCGCTGCTTTTTGACGAGTCAAAAGGTCGCTGACCTTTGACCTTCGCTTAACCTCTTGCTGCTGTCTTTTTGTCAACCGCTTTGGTTGACTCGCAGTTACTTCGCTGTAGTTCGCTGTAGTTAGCTTCGCTTACATTGTAGTGCTCGACACATTAGAAGCACGAACTATATGTGTCCAACAGAACGTACCCTAAGATTATACTTATGTAAGGAAAAAACATTTTTTTTTTACTTCGTGCTCCTCCTTACAGCGTACATTCCTATTCCTGCCACAGTACCCCAACAGTAAACCGTTACCACCTCGCGACACTCGCCTCGACCACTAATCCCATCGCGCCCCAACCCCACGGCTTGGCTGGTAACCCGCGCTCCGGCCCTCCGCTGTTAGAGTTATGAATTATTGTATAAGTGAACATTCATTTGTGGACACAAGTGTCTCAGTGCCCTTTTTCCCGAGTCGCGTCGAAACATTTTGTGAACCGCGCGTCACAAAAATTGAATGTATTGCGACACTAGGCGACCAGGCAAAATGTACATTTGTTTGCATTTGATTGGTTGTCACAAATGACTGTACACCCGTTTCTTCAACCTCCGGGCAGGGGCGTGGTTTCAATGGGCGGGATTTTTTTCCCTCGCGAAATCGGCATTGTCGGGTGTCCAGGTGCATGTGGTCGTGTCGAGCATTTCGAGTCGCGTGCAATTTTTTAACAATGATGGGTCAATTTGCAATTCGTCAGCGACGTCAGCTCGTTTCACGCTGACTAATGAAAAATACAGTAATGGTTGCTGAAAGGCGACTCGCATTTGGGACACAATAACGTTATGTTGTTTTTGGGCGTCACAAAGTGACTGAGATAGAAGTGTCCACACAGGAATGTTTCCTAATTGCATACATGCTGATTAGTGTAGTATCACATTCGACGGTCGTGCCCAGTTCGTCGCCCCGTCGCTTGCGGCCCTGTCCCCAATCCGTTGGCCGCAAGCACCAGCGCCAGCTATGGCCGCCACCGCCAGCGCCAGCTACGGCTGCCACCGCCAGCGCCATCAACGGTTATTGGCGGCCCCGCTAGCGCCATCCCGCTCCTCGCCCTTTTCTCTGCTGCGCCCCACTATGGTGGATGTTTGGGGGGGGGAGGGGGGAAAGGGAGGGCGGGATTGGCAGCCGAGGCTCCTCATCGGTGCCCGTGCATCTGCAGTGCGTGCCGCATTAGGGGGGGAGAGAGGGTGCGGGGGTGGCGGGTATGTGAAGGCACCCGCCCCTCCCCATCTTCCTTCCGCTGCACTTCTTCTTCTTCTCCTCCTCCTCCTCCTCCTCCTCCTCCTCCTCCTCCTCCTCCTCCTCCTCCTCCTCCTCCTCCTCCTCCTCGTCCTCCTCCTCGTGGCCGTCGTATCTAGGCGTGGTCGCCCCCGACGCGCACACCGGCACCCGATGCGATGGTTAAACCACAGGTGGGCACCTGCCGTGGGAGTCATCCATGGTGGTCCCAGCTGCTGCTCGATGACTGCAGCACTTTGGTTAGAGCACCCCTTACTGGCTAGTCCTGCATACAGTGAAGGGGGGAAGTTAAATTCTTATATAATTGCATACACCATCGCAATTCCTGATTGGTCACCGTCAAGATCTTCTTTTGAACTGTTCCCTTGGTCACTCGCTAAGAAGAAAATCGCCATCTGCTACGGCTGCTTAACGCACACCTCCCACATACAATCTACTGATTGAATTACAGAAAAATATTTCTATAATCAACACTTCTCTCAATGTACTGTTTTGCCTCGATTGTGCAATCTTGCACGTTCACTCAATTGTACCCATGCACATGTTATCTTTTAGGTAATTAATACATACACCGAAAGGCAATTGTTTAGATCAAGAATAGTCTTAACTGCTTAACTATGCTTGGAGGTCAGAAAACCTCTTGCCTCATTGCAAATGCCTTGGCCTGATGGTGCCCCCCCTCTGACGCGACTAGATGGCGGGGAAACTGGCTTTCCACATCCACTTCTTGGCATTACTGTCTTGGATACAGTCCAATAACCTTATCTCATGGGCATGCCCACGTCCACGTATCACTTTCCATCTGGAGCCAGCGTCCTTTTGAAACATCTTTCCTGCGTGCATGTAGCCTCTTACATGCATCCAAAAAGATGCCTCAATCCTTTGCATGACTCGCTTCATTTGAAATTTCCGATCTCGAAATGCTACTTCACAACACTCGAACAGCAGCTAATTGATGGTGATAGTAGCCATTGATGCTTCCGGAAATGCTGAGTTGAATGCTGTGCACTTGTAGAGAAGATCCACCAACGAGGAAATTATGTGCGCAGGGTTGATCATATGGAAGGCTGTCTTGAGTGCCGCGATGACTGTTTGGATTTTTGGGCAGTCAAAGAGGCAGTGCTCCTGAATGTCTTTTGAGTTACAGTGCGGGCACTTCGTAATTGTTTGAGAAAGGCTAGTCTTTCTCCCACTTGAAGATTTCAACTATGAAATCCGTTCAGAACGTCACATGGGGGGCTTAGAATGGTGAGTGAGTCGCGGACCTTGATTGCCTGTTTCCATTTCTTTTTCCCACCCCAATGGCTCGCCCTCTTCTCCGTTCTCCACGCTGAGTTACTTTGCTTCCGCTAGGCTACCTGCAGCTGCTTTTGCATAGCGATTTGGCAGAGTTCGAAAATTGGTGTGCGCAGTAGCTTTGCACCAGGTTCCGCCGCTGCCCTTCTCTCTCCTGGTTCCCATCCACTAGAGCTAGCAGCAGCCCCCTCCAGCTTTCTGGCGATGCAGGAAGTGCCTTCGGAGCCAGCCGAGCAGGTCCCTTACCACCCAGTGATCTTGCTAGGGTTTCTGTGCTCTTTACAATCCTACTCTCGTCTGCTCCTGTCACGATGAGGTCCCCCAGCCGCGTATCCCAAAGGTGATTGGAATGCGATGATTGGCGTGATATAACTATTGATGAATACTGCTCTGGCTGCAATCGTGAGGTATTTCAGCTGCCATTTACTCAGCTCCCCTAGTGTTCGTCCCAGTGTCTTCTCCAGATCACCGTACAGTTACCAAAGGGCGTCACTCACACTCGGAGAAATCTCTCTGCTTCATCCGCGCCGGCCTACTTGAAATCGTCTGACCTCCATGACTTTCGCTTGAGGTTTATTCCCAACCGCATCACGACTGACCTTTACTTCTTTGTGGCTAGGCCCAATATGCGCTCGAAGTAGTCGAACAGCTTCTCCACTTTGGCATTTTATTCCTTCCCTTGCAGCAACAATGTGATGAGGTCTGCGTACCCCAAGTACGGCAGCCTCTGACCCATATCGTTGTTGATGCCCCGATTTCCGCTTCTCCGCTACCTGCGCCAACGGTTCCATCGCACGTAAGAAAAGGTAACGGGCGAGGGGACAGCCGTATCGGACTTCCGAGACCACATTAAGTACGTTGCATTTCTAGCTGTTGATTAAAACCATCTACGCGAGTCCTTATGCAGGCTCTTCACCCAACTCACGAACATGGAAGGAAGCCCATTTTTTCAAGCGTTTCGAATACGAAGCCGCGCGAGACCGTGCCGAAAGCCTTTCTAATGTCCACCAACAACAATTACCAGTCCTCATCCCCTCTCTTCGTGGCTTCAATGGCATCAGCTACCAGGCCGACGGCGTCAGACAGTCTCCGTCCTGGAATAAAACCTTACTGTTCACATGATATGACATGGTGCATGATTTGGTAAGTAAAGTTCAAAAGTGTGATGGGCCGTAAGTTGTTGAGCTGGTTCGTATCCCCCTTCTTGCGTAACTGTATCGTTATTGCCTCCTTGGTGCTTGCAGGTAACAACGCTGACGCTTAAAAGGTGAGGGCAAGATCCATAAAGCCTTTCCCAAGGGGACTTCCCATAATGGGACATCCCAGTGCAGCTCAAACATCTCTTTTTGGGAGCCCGTCCAGACCCCGCGACTTCTTAAATGCCAGCTTCTTGAAAGTGTGCCCGACCTCCTGCTCCGTCCACTTATAGACCAGACCATCCGCCTCTTTAGCCGACAACCGCTTCTCCGGTTCCTAGTTCCATTGATGGGTCCGTCGATCAGCTTCAAAGTAGTCGCAAAATAAATTCGTTGCCACTTGCAAGATGCCTTGAGCATCGTTGATAGCCGCGCCATTGGCACTGAGTTTAGTGAATTGAGTGTGCTGCTTCCGTGCCTCAAGTTTGGCTGACATGTGCTTTGAAGTGATCTCCCTGATGAGCTCTGTTGCGTAGCCCGCCATCAAGTGCAGCCTTTGTTTGCGAGATGATTGGTACCCCTTCAGCTGGAGCTCCCACGTCACCAGAAGTTTTCCGTAACCGCAGACGGTTAGGTGCGCTCATCACCACCTGCCTCAGCTTTGCCACTACTTCTGATAGATGTCTCATCGTCGCTTTCATCCTCTTATTTTCCCCCTTCGCGTATGCCCTGAACCAGTGTTTAGAGGCGCCACACGGGAGGTGGTGTTGTCAACAAGAATGTTGAGGGGTATGGAGCTACAGGCGGTAGCAAAGGAAGAGGGGTGGGAGAGGCCGGGGCCGTGGGAAGGGCTTTGGCAGAGGAAGAGGCCGAGGTGACTAAAATGAGGGGCATGGGATCTCTGGTAGCAGGGGGAGCACCCGAATGGAGGGCGCTTGCTGGTACTACAAGAAGGCTGGACACCCCCAGGCATGAAGCCACCAAGTGGTGAACGTGCACAAGGTGGCGCTGTACAAGGTTCAGGTGAACAAGGTGACGGGGCACAAGGTAAAGCCTCCCCATGGATGCTCCTCATGGTTGAGGATGTGAAAGGGAGTGGGGGTGATGTGGGTTCGGTTGAGAAGGTTGTGATGCACCCCCTCACTCACTGGGTGATATCTTCACCAAGGCGTTGCCGCCTTGTGACCACCAGTGTTTCTGCACCCAGCTAGGCCTTGTGCCTGCCAGTCCTCACTTGCTTACGTAGAGATGTTTGTCTTGCTTGTCTTGTACTCTTGCATCTTTTTTGCTTGCATATCGACTAGCCTTGTGGCCTCTTGCTTGTTTTCGGACTGTGTGGTGATCTTGAGATCCACCCTGAGATTTGTTTTGTTCTTGTGGACTGGTCTTCTGACCGTTGCTTGTTCTTGCTGGCTAGTCCCAGGACCCTTGCTTGCTCCCAGACTTTGTGGTGACTTTGTGATCCACCCTAAGATGTATATTGCTTTCCACAGGACTGCCGTCACATAGACTATGGGGGTGTGTCGAACCATAATTGTTTTAGTTTGTATAATTGTTTAGTCTAGGCGGTGTACAAGTCTGTTAGTGATAGGGCTAGGTTTGCTATATCTATCATTGTACTTGCTCAATATAGTCATTTCATTCTAGTCATTCCAGCAAATAGGTCAGCCAGCGTAACTCCTGTGCAGCCATAGCCCCAGCGTAAATCTCGGCCTCACAGCTAGAGCTAAGCATAGAAGACGAGCGAGTGGACCTCCATAGACAGAACCAGTGCTGAGATTAAAAGTGTAACCCTATGACGGCCACTGAGTCGCCTGGTCGTGAGCCCAAGAAGCGTCTGAGTGCCTTGTGAGCACAACTGGGCCCTATCTGGCAAGTAAAAGCCCCATGCCTGATGTACTGCACTGGTAACGCAGTACCCTCATAGCAGCCCAGTATTGCTCAAGGCGTTGTCCCCGGGGCACAACGTAGCACGCCCTGATCTTTAGAGGGTACGCAAGGTCAGGTCGAGTGCACGACATCAAATACATAAGGTAGCTCACAAGCTCTGGGTACGGACCACTCGGCTCTACGGAGTCATCCTAAGGTGGAGCTGAGAGCGAGTGGCTCATAGGTAGAGGGGTGGACTGTGGCAAGGATAACTAAAAGCGGAAGCGCTGAAGGACCTGCTGCACCATGTGTGACTGAGTCAGAATGATGGTGCGCGCTGCTCTGTCCCGGGTGACCTGCAAGCCAAGATACCTCTGCAGCTCACCCAGGTCAGTGCAGGTGTGTCTCTCGTGCAGCTCCACCTTCACAAGAACCAGTGCCTCAGTATTAGTAGTAGCAAAGACCAAGTCGTTGACATATACGTGGATGTAGAACGGCGGCAGAGACGGGTTGGTGCGCAGAAACATCAACGGGCCAGCAGTCGAAGGAGCAAAACCAAGAGCCGCAAGTGTCGTTCTCAATGTGTCATGCCACTCGCGGGGCGCTTGGCGCAGACCATGGACTGGCCGTCGGAGACTCCACTGGGTACCCTCAAGAAACGACCCAGTGAAGCCACGAGGGCGGCGCAGCCAGATCTCCTCGTGGAGGCTGCCCTGCAAGAAAGTTGTGGAGAAGTCGGGCGAGTGCAGCTCGTAGTTACGCTGTGCTGCAACATGCAGCAACACCCGAAGAGTGGTCATCTTCAGGGTGGGGGAGAAGGTCTTGAGGAAGTCGACCCCCTGTCGCTGACTGAAGCCTCGTGCAATGTAACGTGCCTTGAAGTCAGGCAGAGAACCCGGC